CGGAGGATCCAGCTGCACTTTTATGCTGATCCACCTGGATCTTTCTTTTTAAGGAAGAGCTATCATAGCTTGGCATGAAGCAATACGGAGCGGGAGGGGGAATCTCGACTGCCCCTTCCCTTGAACTGATTACAAGAGAGGAAAAAAATCCCTCTCCTGAGTCCTGAGTTGCATCAACATTTCTGCAAAGGGAGCTTTTTTTCAGGAGAGACATGCAAAGTTTCTTTTATCTTCAAAGTTTTTTTGCGGTTTTTTTTAAGAGCTTAACAGTCGCTGCGTTTAAGCTGGTTTCAGCCAGTTTTTTTGCTTTCTGTTTGCACTTGAGTATGAAACCTGGGGAGTTGGCTTTGGAAGCTGAATTGATGCTTCGGTGAAAAAACTCCAAAGTCTTCAATCACCCCCAGTGAGGAAAACAATGCTGGACAGTAACCACAGGTGTGGAGCCTGATTAAATGCAGGCAGGCTTATCCAGCGCACAGAAAGCCCAGGTGTGCACAGACCTTAGCAATCAAGGGGGATGTTTTCCAGAGACCGAGACAAGCTTGAAAGTGCTGCTGTTGTGAGAAAAGTGACTGGTAAAATAGCGTCGCGGGGGTTCCTGATAGATCTGTTCAAGCTGCCGTGTCTATTTAAAAATAGAAATCGCTAATGCTCTCTTCTTCCCAGCCCATAGGATTTTATTCCCTCTGATGTCCATAGGCAACTTGCTTAGCTTTCAAGGCATTTTCTTTCCAACTTCCTGCCTGGGCACGTCTGATATTTTGGCCTTTTACGATTTTTTTTTTCCTGGGTACGAAGGCTCTGCATTTACTTAATGGGGAGGACAGATAAAGCAGAGGAGAATCTCGGTTGCTGCTTCTGGTAGAAGTATCATGATTGCACAAAGTTTCCGTATCCCTGCTAGAAAAAACAGCCAGGCCTGGAAACCAGTGGCAAAGATCCCAAGTAAGCCTTTTCTTTCTTTTTTTTTTTTTTTTTCCTTTTAAAGGTCATTGAGATTAGAAAGTCCACAACCCTGTGATTTAAGCGACAAAATTGGGAAGTCCTAAACCATGCAGTGACTTGACACAGCCCTTCAGCCAGTGCTGCCACGGTTTATAGAAAATGGGACTACTTTGGGCTTCTGTCACGTGGGACACTTAGGATGGGTCAGCCATACTTAAAATGCAAGTGTCCGTGCATTCAAACAGTAAAACACATGCTAAGTGACGTTGTAACTTAGCAAAGGTAGGACTTTCTATCAAAGAATTGTAGACAATGAGGGTTGGGAGGGACCCCAGGGCTAAGTACAGATATTCAAAAAGCCTGAGGCTGAATTGATTCAAACTTTGCAGGGGGGAGCATGGCCAGACCCTGGCTGGCACCAAAGGGTCGAGCAGTGAGAGCAGGGGCATGGCCAGACCCCAGCCCCAGGCCTAAGGCAAAGAGGAGAGGAAGAGGGGAATCACAGAGACCCGCTGTTTTATGTTTCCCGCCCCCCTCCTTCTGCCACCCCAGCAGTGAGGGGGACGCTCCAGAGCAGGGTTTCCCAACCCCTTCGCAGCCAGCCAGAGCAGTGATAATGCCCCAGCTAGGGAGGGGCAGGGGTGAGAACAGACAGCACAGCCCAGCCCAGAGCTGCAAAGCACTCTGGGATGCTGGGGGACTGTGAGTTAACTTAAACCAGGAAGAAGTCTGGGACAGAAGTTCCTTAAAAGGGTTTGACCTAAATCTGCGAAGCCTGATAACGCATTCAACCAGGTTTATCTTAAACCAGTTTCAGCCATTTTGAAAGTGGTTTATGTGCACTGAATTTTGTGTTCTGTTACAGGTTTAAACCGGTTTCTGATCACTTAAACCGGTTTATGTGTAATGTCTGTCCCTAGCCGAGAAGGTCACATCTAGTCCAACCCTCTGCTCACAGCAGGACTGTCCCCAGTTAGATCATCCCAGCCAAGGATTTGTCTAGCCAGGTCTTAAAAACCTCCAGAGATGGAAATTCCCCATCCTCTTTGGGTAACCTGTTCCAGTCCTTCACTACAACCCTCCTTGTGAGAGAGTTTGCTCCTAGTATCCAACTTCAACTTTCTTTGCTGCAACTTGAGAACATTGCACCTTGTTCTGTATAAGGCAGGGGTGGGCAAAATGTAGCCTGCGGGCCGGATGCAACCCACCAGGCCATTGTATCTGGCCCACAGGGCCCCTAAAAAATACAGAAAATTAATATTTATCTGCCCCTGGCTGCCTGTCATGCGGCCCTTGATGGCTTGCAAAACTCAGTAAGCGGCCCTCCACCTGAAATAATTGCCCACCTCTGTAAGCAGCATTGCCAGATGATGTTAAGCAACATGTTATCAGCTACTGTTGGACCACTCCACGGAGATAACATAAGCAATTTGTGGTCCTCAACCATCCAGGGACCCCTCTGGTGTACCAAGCCTCTGTTGTTGGTCTCATCCCTGGCTTGAACCAGAGCCAATTCGAGACTCCTGTCCTGTGCTGGGATGGACAATCAGCGAGCTGCACGTGCAAGAGACTGTAGTAAGAATTACCATGCAGCTGCTGCGAACATGCTCTAACTTTTACTACAGCACAGTAATGCTTACCGTGGTCTGAATTAAACGCATGTTAAGTGTCCCGTACTGCAAGCCTCTCTCCATGTAGCCCCCGGAGGAAGTGAGCTTGTCACGGGTTGCACCAGATTAGGAGAACTGAAGATTGCATGTGGTGCCATTGGCACAGGCATGACATCGATCTGATGGGCATGGCATGAATGAGAGATCCTGCTCCATTCACTGTTATCTTTCCCTGGTCTTCAGCATGCTTTAAGACTGCTGTAGTAGAGACAGCGGGGAAGGTCCAGCCAGGGGAAGTTTCTAGCTTAAGGTGGTCACGGATAGCAGAAATGTTGTGACCCTTCATAGGGCAGTGGTGACGATCGCAGCCGCAAACTTGGTTTCTTTCTCATGCACCCTTCCCTATTGCTGATGAACATATAATGGCAATGCTGTCCCGCACCACCCCAAATCCCCGTGGATGGTGGTGCCAGTATGTCTGCTGGCTCGTGGGGGAAGGCAAGGAGAGAAGCCTCGATTATAGCCTGCTGAACTCTGCGGTAGCCTAAAATAGTCTTTTTCTGTTTCCTGGCTTGCTTGCTTGCAGTGTGGCTTTGCAGCAATGCCATAGGCAATCGGGGAGGAGGAAACGCCAACTAGATTTTCCTTATCTGATATGTGGCTTTAAAATCTGTGTAGCTGAAAGCCCATTTCAAGTGTAGGCTCTGATCCAGGGGTGCCCAGAGAGATCTCATTGAAGACCCTGGGGCAAGGCTAGGCATGGCATAGGGCATCACGTGGCAGGAGCGTGATGTACATTTTGTCTGGGCTGGGCCATGCACGTTTCTATCCATTTTGCTCTTGGGTTTTTTGTTTGGTTTTTTTTGTGGGGGGTTTTAATTAAGTACCTGCAGAAACTTTCTGGACAACCATTGTCTTTGTACTGGGGGAGATTATGATAGAAGAACAGGGTTGGCAGGACCCTTGGGAGGCCATCTAGTCCAGCCCTCGCTTAGGGCATGGTCATCCCTGTCCAAACTATCCCAGACAAATATTTGTCTAACCCGCACTTAAAAACATCCAGTGAGGGAGATTGCACAGCCTCTAATCTGTTCCAGTGCTGAATCGATCTCAGTTATGTTCTTCCTCATATGCATCCTAAGCTTCCCTTTTGGTGGGATTGAAGTCCCAATGTCCTCTGCACTCTGCCAACTTACAGAAAGGGAGAGTCCTTGCATTAAAGAGCCTGCGATACGCACAGACAAGACAGAGCAAGGGTGGGAAATGGAGACGTTTCGATTGGCAGGGAATTAATGGGGACCGGACTAGGGGGTTTAGGAACTGGCGTCTCATCATGTCTTCAATTGTTGTGTTCATGGAGAAGACCTCAATGAGCGGGGCTTGTTTCCAGCAGGGTCTCCCAGGGATTGGTTCTTGGCCCTATAAGATTCAACATGTTTTTCAGTTCCCTGGGTTGCAATAAAATGGTTGTTGCAATTTTTTTATTTAGTTATTTTTTTTAAGGACACAAAGATTACATGAAGGGGAGGATGTTAAGTGATCTTCGTTTTGCCTGGTTAAACAGTCAGAGTCCAGAAAACAGGTTTAATACACCCCAGGACATGCACCTGGGAATTGTGTGCGCAGGCCATGCTTATGGGATGCAACACTGTCTGCACAAGCAGTAGCCTGGAAAACATCTCTGGAGTCATCTTAGGTGACGTCCTTAGGGCAATACTGTGATGAAAAGAGCCATCAAATGGTGAAAAGAGCCATCAAATGATCCTGAGATGCATAAAGAAAGGAATGCCCAGGGGAGGTGGGTAAGCGATTTTTGCCACTGATAAGGCTTTGACTACAGTGCCCTGGCCCAGTCTGGTGCCCATGCTTCAAGAAGGATGCCAAAATAGTAGCGCAAGCTCCAAGGAGGGCAACGGAAATGTTTCGAGGACTGGAAAGCAAATCGGGGATGCGAGACTGAAAGAATTCAGCTCAGCTGCCGAGAAGGCTGAGGGGTGACTGAGTTGCTCAGTGTGGATACTTGCATGCGGAAAAGCAAATCTGAATGGCAGGGACAGGACTTCTCTGGCTTGCAGGCCAAGACACGGGAAAACCTAATTGCTGGAAATGGAAGCAAAAGGGGTTCAAAAGGCAGTTTTCTAGCAGTGAATGTTAGTTAAGCACTGAAACAACATAGTGATGGAGATTGTCCCTGAGCCCATCAGAGTGCATATCTTAAGAGATGCGTTAATCAAGCTTTTGGGGAGCAATTCTTCAGATGGCATAGGGTGGAAGCTGGGGTGGATGGTTATGTCGGCCCCTTCTTACCTTGTGAGCTGTAGATGCGCACACCTCGGTTTCCTGCCACCTTGCATGGGACATGTGGAGGTAGCATTGTCCTAAATATGCTTGAGGGGCCTTGTTCACCATATAAGTATCAAGCAGAAGGTAGGGCTACCGTGTTACCACCCATCCCACAATGTAGATCTTTGCTGGTATCTTTTCCTGAAATTTGTCCTATTGGTTTTGTTTGCTGGTTTTGACAACTTATTCTATTTCTCACAACCATTTTAAATTTTGGTCCTGTTTTCCTAGGTACCCTCGACTCCCCTCCCTCCCGGGCATCATCTGTAGTTTCTGTGCATTGTACATACCATCAGTGAAAATACTGGTGCAGAACAGGCCTCTGTGAGACCCCAGTAAAAGTATCCTCGCACCTTAACAGCAAACCCTTGATAACTTAAGTGCAACGGGTGCACAAGTTGTTGAAAATCCTCAGTCCATCAGTGATTTCATTGATACCTAGCTTGTTCGTGGGGATGGCACAGAAAACCTTACTGAGGTCAAAAGATGTCACGTCTGCTGCTTCCCTCTTATCTGCAAACCCTATCAAAGGAGGAAATTAGATTGGTTTGACGTGATTTATTCCTGGTGGTTTCTTATCGGCTGTTATTCTCCAGGTGATTATACATGGATTGTTTGTTCATTTGTTCGAGTGTCTTTCCAGTTACCAAAGACATGGTCTTAACTTCCCATGTCCTCCTTTAACACATGAAAGACCTGCACTATGTTTACCATTCTCCAGTCCTTCAGGACTGCCCCCATTCTTCAGAAATTCTTGAAGATAATTGCTGATGATTTAGAGATTGCTTCGGCTAGCTTTCTTAATACTCCAGGGTGAATTTCAACGGCCCCTGCCAGCTTGAATGTATCCAACCTATCTGGATGTTCTTTCCCTCTTTCCGCCTACGCTGCTGCCCCCTTGTAGAAGTTAATTGCATTAACTGTCTGGTCAAAATTAACCTTTTTTTGTGAAGACTGAAGCAGAAGACATCAAATACCTCCATCTTCTGCATGTTGCATGCTGTCCTGTTCCCTGTCCCCGTTAAGCAACAGACCTAGGCTTTCTCTTCCTTTTCCAGTGTATTTATAGGCCCTTATTTGTTGCTTTTTTTTATGTCCCTAGCAAGTTTCAACTCATTTTACACCTTAACCTTTCTAATATTTATCCCTACCTGCTCACACTATTCCTTTTAGTCATGTCTTTGTTTCCAGTCTTTGTACTTTTTAGGTCACATAAAAAGCTCCCGGTTTATCCATGTTGGTCTCTTCCTGTTTGCTCCCTATCTTTCCCTCTCGGTCAGAATAGTTTGTCTCTTAATGCCATCTCTTTCAGTAACTGCCAGCACTTCTGCACTTTCTCCTTCCCTCCATTTTCCCCCTTCTTTTTTTTTCCTTAGACAGCCTATCAACCAGTTCCTGAAGTTTGGTGAAGTCTCTATTTTTTTTAAGCTGTCATCCTTAGTCTGTTGCTGTCAGTCCTTTGGCTCATGAGCTCCACCACTTCCTAGCTTGGGCCGGATGAAATTCAACAGAAGTCAGACCAGATGATCTAACATCCCGTCTCTTCATTTTTTCATAGACTCTAAGGCCAAAGGGGAAGTGGTTCACCCAAGGTCACACAGCAGAGCAGTGTCAGAGCCAGCCACTGCACTCGGGGATCATTCAAGTTCTGGCCCCAGCACTGGACTACGCTGCATCTAAGGTAAATGGCATCTGCATGGTGAACATGCAAAACCATCCATGCGCTCGTGCAGTTCAAGATGGGATGAAAAACAGGAGTCTATATGCAGTCTAATCCATGCTTGGGCTCCAAAACCAAGAGACCCAACTCAGTCCTAACAGCTGATCACCCAGCTGCTTCCCCTGGACTAAATCTGGGAATTTACTCTAGACCGTGCATGGGTGCTGAGGCCAATATTTGTCCGAGGTGCTCTCTTTACAGTGAAGGGAAGCAGAAGTAAATAGAGTTAAGTGTGGAGCAATATCATGCTCGCCTCAAATCAGTTTTGTTGCCCTCCTTGGAGTTTGTGCTACTATTTCCACATCCTGCTTGAAGCGTGGGCTTTGGACTGGGCCAGGGCACTGTAGTCAAAGCCTTATCAGTGGCAAGATTGTTTACCCACCTCCCCTGGGCATTCCTTGCTTTATGCATCTCAAGATCATTTGATGGCTCTTTTTGCCATATTATTGCCCTAAAGACTTGTGCAGGAGCCGTCACCTATGATGACTCCAAAGATGCTCTCCAGGTCACTGCTTTTGCAGACAGTGTCGCATCCCATAAGCATGGCCTGTGGGCACGATTCCCAGGTGCATTCCCTGGGGTGTATTAAAACAGTTTCCTGGACTCCAACCATTTAACCAGGCAAAATGGAGATTGCTGAACATCCTTCCTCTTGTGTAATCTTTGTGTCCTAAAGAAAATAAAATAAAATACCAACAACTATTTTATTGCAGCCCAGAGAATTGCAAAACATTGACTCTTGTAGGGCCAAGAACCAATCCCTGGGGGAGCCTGTTGGAAATGAGCCCTACCTATTGAGGTCTTCCCCATTAACACGCGAAAGGGTTCGACTTGCATGGGTTTCCTGTTGTGTTCTGAAAATACTGTCGGCATACAGACGGGCAAGCGGCATTTGGCCCCTCGCGAACATTTCCTGTTGGACAGCCTTGTCCTTCACTCTGGAAGGATAACTTTGTTACTAGGGGATCACTTTGGCTCCCTGCCTTTATCAACAGAGCAGCTTGTAGGCAGGAGGCCAAAGGCAATTTGATGTGGTTTCTAATATATGCCATACACAAATGAACTAGAAATGCCTGTGGCATATTCCCTCCGCTTCTTAGAAATGTGCTGCAGACCATGCCATCCCAAGATAAGAACAATGCACCTGGCTCTCTTTTATTCTTTGGCTAAATGACCACATAAATGTCTTTCCTTGGCCTGAAAGACAATCGTCTTATTTGTTCTAATTTTTATTGAAGCAGTTGGCAAACGAGATTGTTATCCCTCTAAAGATTTCATGTGGTTCTGTAAGAGAATTCTTGCCTTGTAATAGTTAAACTACATCCTGTTTACAAGGCAATTAAGAGGCCCAATAAGTGCAAATCCACAACAGCACCGATGTAGGTTATTGCTCCCTCAGCTAGGAAGAGACGATAACTTGCATAAATAGCTCAGCTAGTCTTGAGGGTCTCTGTTGTGCACTCCATGTTATCAGCATCAAGTAAGTGCCAGCTCCCTCCTGGAAGGCTTGAAGCAGTCACAAGTCATTGGTACTGGAACAGAAACCCTTATTGGGTTGTCTTCTCTGTTTACTCCTGCCGGGTTTTTTTTCTTAATGAAGTAGGGCAGGAAGGGAATTCGCAGATGCAAGCTGCTGAAGGCATTGATCTTCCAACTAAAAACTAGCACTGGGCCTGTTTTTTTCCATGCACCAGTATAATTCCAGTAGAGCTGATCCCACCTTTCTCCTGTGAGAGAGCAGAGTCACTGGCTGATTCTTGTCCCTATTTCGAAGTTTTAGGATCATGGGAAAGTAGGGGACCTCAGTAAGTCATATGGTCCACGTAGGATCAGCCTGTCATGACTAAACTATCCCAGCCAAGTGCTTGTCCCACCTCTTCTTGAAAACTTCCAGGGATGCAGCTTACATAACTTCTCTAAAAGTCAAAAGATATCACCTCTTTCATGAGTTTTGATTTGTTTTGCCTCTAGACCAATACGGCAACAACCTGGATACCTGACAACTTCTCTAGACCGCCTGTCCCAGGGCTTGACCACCCTCAGAGTCAGAAAGTCCCCCCTAATGGCCAACCTTAATTTCCCCAGATGCATCTTGAGACTATTGCTCCTAGTCCTGTCTTCTGAGGTTACAGAGAAAACTAGTTTTGTCAGGGATTTCAGCAGATCTAGGATTTCACCCATATGGCTTAAAAACTGCATTGGGCACATGGATCAAGGAGGTTGCCCCAGCTCGCTTTCCACATTGGTGGCAGTTGAATGAGTCTTTGGAAGAACAGAATAGGAAATGTAGCAGTTAGCCGGCTTTTCTCACTTGAAGAATAAAACCAGAACAGCTGGTGGGCTGAGCTGCGAGAGAGGTCTTGAGTATGTAAATGGGTGCAATGTCTGGAGGTGTCTCATAGGAAGGGTTTAACACTTCAAGAGCCTCCTTCCTGCAGCAGGTCAGGTGGCTTTCGGTAGTACAGAGTTGCAGTACTTCCATACATGCATGTCTCGGCCCAGGGAACAATCCTGTTCTCCTAAATGTATGAGCTCGTGCTAAATGTATGAGTGGCTGAAACTGGAATGTACCTGGCAAGAGCTACCGTAATGCATAACATGAGACCAGAGGGGGAAATTGCTCATTTTGCCTTGAGGTAATTCAGAAAGTCCAATTTGCTGCTTGTTCCTAGCTGAAAGTAGCAGTCCCCCCCTCCCGCCTTTCCCCTCTTCCCCCACCCCTGTTATCTCTCAGCAAATCTTTAGTAGCTCTGTGCCCCAAGATCTCATCTTCCTCAAATGTCCTGGATTTCTGTTGGAGCAGACTGCCTGATGAAGGGGGTTTGTGCCCAAAAGTTTGCAATTAAAGGCATATTTTTTTGCAAAAATCTTGTGGGTCTAATAAAAGATATCATCTCTACTACGAGTCCTGATTGCCTATCGGAGCAGACTGCACTCTTACCCCACTTAAATTGCAAACTGTATAGGACCAGGCTGTGGGGTTTGTGTACTGTTTTCATATCGTGCTGAGCACAATAGCGTCCTGGCTGCTGCCTGAAACTCCTGGGAATGACCATGTTACGGGGTTTGGGGTTGTAGCTGTGTTGGTCTAAGGACATAGGGCGGCCAGGTTCATCACATAGATGTGACATCTTTTATTAGACCAACTGAGTAATTGAAAAAAAGATCTTTGCAGGGCCAGAACTTGAATGTTCAGTGGCTGGCTCTGACACTGCTCTGCTGTGTAACCTTGGGTGAACCACTTCCCCTTTGGCCTTAGAGTCTGTGAAAAAATGGAGAGAGGGGATGTTAGATCATCTGATCTGACTTCTGTTTAATGTCATCTGGCCCATGCTGGGAAACGATGGAGCTCACGAGCCAAAGGACTGAGAGCAACAAACTAAGGATGGCAGATTAAAAAAATAAGAGACTTCAGCCAGCTCCAGAAGGGTACTCAGTTGGTCTAATAAAAGATATCACATCTACCCAAAGAACCGTGCCTGGGAATTACCATAATACCCGTAAGTATATATGATCAGGGCATTTATGGTGATGTGCTTTCCTGTCTTTTTGTGTTTTGCATATTGGTGAGTAATTCGCAAGGGATCTCCAGGTCCTTGGTGTGAATTAGCCAGGAGCCACTGTTTGCTCTATGGGGGGAAAAGGGAACTGTGCAAACTCAGAAGTCAGTGCGAACTTCTAGGAAGTGGCTGGCAAAAGGTTTCTGAGCTGCAGAAGAGACTTGCAGAGGGGCTCAAAGGACAAAAGTGGCAACGATGACACCTCCAGGGTGTTTAATTGCCTGTTGTTAAAGGGTAGGGGAAGAGGTGATAATAGCGTGTGCTTGGAGACCAAGAGGACTGAAACAGTGGGAAGAGGATGAGAGACGCTATTAGTCATCGTCCTCTGTCTCTACACCACACTTGACCATTTTGTTTCACATGCTTGTGCTCATTTGTTGTACTTTGTGGAGTCTTTCATTGTACATGTGCCTTTGAGCAGCGGGCATTGCAGCAGGTGTTGCATAGTCTAAGGCCCTGTGCCGCAGTTGTGGGTGGTACAGCCCCACTTCTTTAATCCCTTGGATCATCCAACTCCAGTACGTAGGCGATTGAGACATGGCCCCCTTTGCCATGGTTTGTCATCCGCTGGTGGTAAAGATTCGGCCACTGGAGCGTCCATTTTTTCGCTGTCAGGTACTTTCCTCAGCCTCTCGTTCCACATCTGTAGCTGTCTCTCTTTGGATGTGGCATCGAAAAGGTTGGGTGCTAGTGAGGAAGCTCCTGCATGACTTCAGTCACTTGTGTGCTGCGGGGCGGTCAGACAGTGGGTGCCCCACGTCTTCAGTTTGTCTCCATCGCTCTAGGCCGCAGCAGAAGCGTTCACGTTGTGACCCATCAGATAATAACCTGGTAATGGCTGCAAATTGTGCTAACGTTCCAAACCACGGATTTTGACTATCAGTTAATACCTGATATTTTAATCTGCGGGTGGGGGAGGAGGGACGGGTTGTTAATGGGGCGAAAAGAAGTAGAAGAGCAGCAGCGCAGATGGATGGGTTTGTTCTCCAGGGGCATCTCTGCTGCAGAGCTCCCAAACCCCTTGTTTGAAGAGATAACAAGAGAGCTCGTGGTGCTAGTTAGCAAAATGGAGAAGCAGTAGGAATAACGAGCATTTCTCACTGCTTGAACGTGACTGGTGCAGGCCTGTAGGATGCCAGCCTGCTCAGAGGCATGTGAGTTAAAGCTTTTTATCTGGAAACGGCATTGTAGTTGCCTACAGTTCTGTGCTGGAGCCATTAAAATACAGCCATGAAAAGATCTAGCGGGAATCAGCAGCTTGGCTCCGTTCTCTCATGACCTGGGAAGATGGCAAGGTCAGAGGTTGAAAATAGGATGTGTGGAAGAGAGGAAGGGGAAGAGAGAAGGTAGAGGCTTTCCCCAGTCTTATGTTGCATCATGGTTGAGAGTAGTCTTATGTAGGGTTTAGATTATGGTTGTATGGGATGGTTTGAATAGGGATGATCCTGCTTCAGTAGGATTGGATGACCTCTGGAGGTCCCTTCCAGCCCCACTTCTCTCTGACCCAGTCATTTGTTTTGCATAATTCACTGATGACTCCCCACTGACCTGTGCAAATGGAAGTGGTGGTCTACCCTCCTCCTGTGGTGGTCTTTCAATCAGGTCGAGATTACCAAGCTATGGAGGGACTATCCAGAAACATGTGCTTGAGGCTGGTGCTCCAGGCTGGGTTCATTAGCTCTGCCGACCTGCCCTTAGAGCGTGTAGGGCATAGGTCTGGCCAAAACAAAGGGTGAGGGATTCACCATCTTCTCCTCCCCGTGGAGCTCCTGGCTGGAGTTGAAGCGTCTTTCTTTCCCAGCTGAGCACCATGGGAGGTTTGGGAGTAGCAACCTGACTTGCCCTTCCTGTGAATGGATTCCTTCCCTGAACTCCTTCAGCTGTTCAGGCCTCACGAGCTCTGAGTCGTAATGAATCTAGTCCGCAGTGTCTTAGGCTTGGTACCTTTGGTAGGTTTGGTACCTTTAAACAACTTCAGTATAGCACCAAGGGAGGTCACTCTCGTAACGGGGTATTGCTGTGTCCCCTATGTGGTTGTGCCTACTTCTCTCTTCATTTCCCATTGAACATAGCAGTAACAGAAAAACTGCAAACCAAGTACTTAATTACTCCATTTACTTAATTGGCCTAATTCAGGGATCAGCAGCCTACAGCCTGCAGGGTGGATCCGGCACACCCAGTGATTTCATCCAGCCCATGAGGCCTAAATATGGACAGCGGGCAGCTTTGGTGATAGGGAGAAGTGACAGCGAAGAAAAGCAGCAACCAGTTTGGAAGGCCCGCCAACTTTGGAGCAAGTCGTGTCATTTCAGCGTGCTGCCAAAAAGGTTGCTGATCCCTGGTTTAGAGGGCCCTGTTGTCAAAACTCTGAAGGCTATTACCTATGTTGTAGAATGGCAAGACTGGGACTTTTTAAAAGAAAAGTTGTGTATTAAGAGATACTGGTCAATATTATTTTTAAATAATAATTCAGTGCATCAAGGGTGGACTGTGTCATCCATCCCAATATATAGGATAGATACCTGACCACTAATGCCCTCTGGATGTCTGCAGTATATCCATGGCAGAGCATGTTAGGAATAATGAGATTTAGAAGCGTGCCCTCGTCTTTTGCAAGCATATTACAAATTACTGTGACAGTGCAGTCCAAACTCGTTACCATCCTTGGGAACATTTGAACTTGGTCTCGCACTGTCTCCTTGAGTTCATGCACAACTTTAATTATTTTCTTTGTCCTACAGATTTGAAAATGCCTCTATCAGCCTGGTCCAACTTGCTTCTCCTCCTTCCTTGCATTGGTACGACCAAGACCTGCTATCCAGGATGCCACTGTGAGGTGGAGAGTTTTGGGCTCTTTGACAGCTTCAGCCTGACCAAGGTAGACTGCAGTGGAATAGGGTCGCACATTGTTCCCGTGCCAATCCCATTAGATACCTCCTACCTGGACCTGTCTTCCAACAAACTGGAAACCATCAATGAATCATTGCTTAGTGGCCCAGGTTACACAACATTGGTTAGCCTTGACCTTAGCTATAATAAAATTGCCAAGATCTCTTCCACTACCTTCTCCAGGCTCAGATATCTGGAGTCTTTGGATCTGAGTCATAACTCTTTGGAAGTCCTTCCAGAAGAGTGCTTCTCCAGTTCACCATTGGGGGACGTAGATTTGAGCAGCAACAGCCTCTTGGAAATAACAATGGATGTCTTTGCTTCCAAAGGTCAGGGAAAACCCATGAACGTAGATCTATCTAACAACGTGATACGCAGAGTTGCGAGACATCGCAACAGAAACATTCCCAACATCCAGAGCTTAAATCTTTCTGGAAACAAACTAACTACCGTGCCAAATCTTCAAGGGATTCCTCTCCGATACTTAAACCTGGATGGGAACCCGTTGGCCAAGATCGAGAAAGGAGCCTTGGTGGGGCTGAAGGATTTAATCCATTTGTCTCTCAGCAGTCTGCCTGACTTCAGAGAGATCTCTCCCTACAGCTTCAAAGAACTGCCAGCCCTCCAGGTACTTGACTTATCCAGCAATCCCAGTCTTAAGTTGTTGAGTGCTGAAGTTGTCTTTGGTTTAAACTCCCTGCAAGAACTCAACCTCTCTAGTACAGGTGTACCATCTTTGCCAAAGACTGTGCTAAAATACTTACCGTCCATCAAAAGCATCACCTTGGGAAAGAATGTGCAGTGTTTTAAGACAATTAAAGAAGGGCAGTACCACCGACAAATGGGGCACACCAAAAAAGAGGTCCTCAGTTGTCACGACAGCAATGGGTCTGTAGCGGCAGCACCCTATGTTTTGTGATGACAGTTGGAGCGGGTGGGAGTGGAGGGGATTATACAGCTGCCCGGACAGAAATGGGCTGCAGTGTGCCTTTTGTAAAATTGTCAATAATTTATATATTTGTATATGCCAATACTTGATTGCGTGTGTGTTTTATAAACTCTGTATTACTGGCCACCATTTTCTTCCACAGTCATTTGCAACTTCTTGATTCCTTCAAGCCATTTTCACATCATGCATCCAGCTCAGGAGTTCAAGAATAGCATTTTACTGTGAAAGGGGACCAAGCAATGTCGCTATTCTGGACTTTTAATAGGGGGAACAAATGCATTCGGACCAATTGTACTCGCAGCCCTCTCTGGTGCACATCAAAAACACGTGAACTCTGCAGTCATTTACTTGCAAATCCATGTTTCATCTCCTTTCTTTTTTTTTTTATTCCTCAAGAAGTGCCTTCCAGATGTTGCCTTCATTAGCAGAGCCTTGCTCATTTGTCATGCACTTTCGGTCTGAAGAAACCTTTTGGGACACATGTGAGCAAAGGGTGCTGCTAATGTTTTTAAATGCTGTTTGCATAGAAGTGCAATGAACACTGGGTAACTGGGGACCATATTTTCCCCTCTGTCTTTCTGATTGCATTGGAGCCTCCACTGAGAAGCTGTCGGGATGCAGATGTGTCCTTGATCTTCCTGGAGACAAAATGTTCAGATCTAGCCCTGTGTCTATGCCGCTCTTGCTATTCTTGCAGGCTCCTGCCTCTCACTGTCCTCTGTATATAGCAGGGTGGGTCTGCCTCCAATAAAGAGCAAATGGTCTGGGAGCTCAGCTCCCAGAGGGGCAAAGGAGTGTGAGCTGTGAAGCAGAGGGAGCATGTAAACTAGATTTGAAACCTTTTTCAAGGAATCTTAACTACCTTATCAATCAGAGACAGGAACCCAAAGGACTGAGCCAAGAAACTTTTGTTCCTCCTCTGCCTTCCCCTGCCTGGGGAGAACTTGTGCAGCACAGCTGGGCCTTGTGAAGGCAGTTTCATGCTAGAAAATATTTGCCTACCAAATGCAGTGCGGGAAGGGAGGAGAGAGGCTCCAGCCCCAGTGCCTGGGGTGACATGTGCCAGCTCTCCAGCAGCCCAGGGCAGTGCAACACTTGCTGCTCTGTGCTGATTGTTCCTTCCCCACCTTGGCAGCTAATGAATCTCTGTTTAAGCCCTTGCCTGTAGAGCATGCAAAAGCGCATAGCCACATCCCTCTTCCCTTGGTTCCCTGCCTGATGAGCATGGCAATAGAGAGAAACCACAGAGCAAAAACAAAAACCAATTTAGGGAAGTGGGTAGTAATGGCTGGCACAGGAAGGGGGGAACAATGTGGAGGACGTGGGGGCAAGGCCACTTGCAAAAAATAAATGGGGAAAGCTCCTGTTCCATTGAGCCCAGTGGGGAATTTGGTATCAGTCCCCAAAGGGAGGGACTGAGGCAGTCAGCCTGGCTGTGACAACCCCATCGGTGGAGGTGTCTCCTTCCCCCCTGTCTGAATTTGGTCCACTGTCTCTAGGTAGGGGAGGGGAGGAAGGGAGAAACCATGCAAGGCAGCATCAGCTCTCAGCTGTATTAGGCTATGGTCTTGTAGGAGTAATTGCAGCCGTGTAACCAAGGTGTTTCCAGACTAACTAGAGGAGAAAAAGGGCAAGGTTTACCATGCATTAGCTGCTAGCGAACACAGTGTTATCCCATGGTAAGGGAAAGCTACCCCTGTGGTTAATATAACTCCCTTTCCGTAAGCAACCTTTTCCTTCGTGGTTTCTCTGCACCGACCCAAGCTGCCTTTTTAACCAGCTTAAGTTGGTGTGTCCGGTCATTTCTGTTTAAACCTTTTTTTTTTTTTTTTAGTTTAGTTTAAGTTGGGAAGTGAGAAACTAAACTGCTCTAAGCCACTGTTTAAACCCAAATGGGTACGTCTGCCTGGCTGTTCGCATCATCGCCCCTATTGGTTCAGTTGACCGATGTGTAGACAGCGCCAAGGTTTAGTGGCGTCAGAGTTATCCCAGACTTGAGCAGGTGGAAGAGGGATGAAATCAGGCTCATCTCATACACCGGCACTGAGAATGGCAGCCCACAATATGGGGTGATAGGAAATGCAGGGGCAGAGTCTCCAGGGAATCGGGACAAAAGCAGCATCCCCTGGAAGTTGGGGCAGGGGGGAAGGTCATACGGAGTAGGTCAGGATGCACCTGGCTATATCCATAACTGCTGAATATATTCTGATCTGCCGAGTAGAAGAAGGATGACAAATCAAAGGTGCTTTGCAATGGAAACCCACATCATGGATCCCAGGAAGAGCAACATCTTCCTGCTTTCATCCTCCAGAGTATTTTACTGCCGGAAATTACAGCTGCCTCCAACCCGTTCTCTGTGGGAATGGTAGACAATTGAGCAAATCCAAGCCAGCTGTTGTCTAAGAGGGGCCGATTCACAGCTGTAGTTTTATCTCAGCTCTGGATCCAGCATTGGCTTTCCAAATATTTCCCAGCAAGAGTTTCGCTCGTTCTAGTACTAAGCGGCTCGGTCCTCTCATATCGAATGACAACCATTTCTGGTTGATTTTCCCATTTGCTGAGCCTTTTCATTGCTCAGCTGGCCTTCAGGGTCATGAGAAACCTGTAGATTTTCTTAAAAAGGCAACAACATTGTCTCGGGCAGAGGATGCCAATCTACAAGCCTTCAGGAGGGGAAATGATGGACAAAGAGTCGTGCTGAGTTGTCCTGTCTTTCTAATGGAGCTTGCCTTTTTAAGATAATTTTTCTGCTGGCAGAAAATTTAATTTTTTTTTAATTGTTTAATTTTATAATTGTGTACTTAGGTGGAATGTTAGGGGAATAATAAAGGGCGACAGGAGGTCGGGCCCTTGTACCACTGTGGTAAATCTGTAATGCCCAATGTGACAATCCAATTGAAGACTGCAAGATGAGCTCTTGTAATCTCATGCTAGCTGCTAGTTAAATAAGTCTCAGCAAGGGCTGGTGAAGACCTTCTCTGTATCTTTTTTTTTTTTCTTTCTTTGTAAGAATCTCTGCAGCGTTGTAATGCTTGACGATTATTTCACAATATAATAAAGTGATTCAGAGAAGAATGAAGCTGCATCTCCTGGTTTTCTCTTCTGATGCAGCCAAATGCTTGGTTGCTAATGATGTCTGAGGAACCTCTCTGCACCCCAGGTGGGGTTTTAAACCAGTGTTTGCTTGTGCCATCTCCAGTGGTGCTAAAGTCGATGAGACGGCACCTATCTGCTCACAGCAGCATCTGCCCCACTACGTCACTTAGAGGTCTGGCTGGAAGGGAGGATGAAATGCTTTGTTTTGATGTGATGGCACTGGAAGGAAAGCTTTGGCTTTTGGACGTGCAAGAGAAAAAGCCACGGGGTATTCAGAGTGCATTTTCCCCTGCCAAGGTCTGCTCCAGAGTCCATTGGAGTCTCTTCAGCAAGTTTGGGGTCAGGTCTGCTAGTGGGAGATGGTCATAGTGGGGAAGGATGGTGGAGTAACAAGTCCAGTCCAGATCCTGGAGTCACTGGGATTGTCTGTGCCCGTGACCTACGTCCACAGCACCGCTAAAATGACTGAGCCTGAGACAAGGGTGCTCAACCCCTGGCCTTCAGACCAAACCCAGACTGCGGAGCCATGATATCTGGCCCACAGGGCTCCCCATGGGTCAGGAAATTTGGTGGCAGGGGGCCAAGCCGCGCATGGTGGGTCAGAGCTGGGCCGTGCCTCCTTCCCTCCATGTATCTGGGTTGGGGCTGGGTCACACCCCCCATGTGGGTAGATCAAGGCAGGCTACACCCCCCTTCCGCACCTGGTTCAGGGCTGCCCCCCCACCCACTCTGCATGGCCAAATGGGGCCCTGCTATACCCACCCCAGGTGCTGGATCAGGACCACCAGCTGGATCTGGCCCACAGAGGGGCCAGGCACTGTCCATTTGGTCCACTGGGCAAAAATGTTGAGCACCTCTGCCCTGAAGCATCACTCAGCTTTGCTGCAAGTGAGTACCATCTAAACACAGTCTGGCATGAAGGCAAAATGCTTCCAGCAAAGCGATGTGTATATGTGAGCAGGTGTTGCAGGGAGGGTGTGTAACAGCCTGGCTTTAGTACAGATAGACAAAGCCTCAGCCTTCGTATGCCTCAGTTTCCCCTAAGTGCATTGCCATCAAAGAGGTAAGCTTAACCGAGGTGCGTGCTGCTCGGTGTCATTCGGAAAAACATGAATGACAAAAACATCCTGTTTCGTTTTGTTTTGTAAGTGCTTTGCCCCTGCCGAATGAGAAGCCCGGTAGTGTTTAATTTAAGCACTTGGCAATTATGCAGTAGTAAAACCAAGGTTACAAAAGCAATACGCACAAATCCTCCATGCTCGAGGCAGCTTTCAAGAACCAGCCCTGATCTTTATCTTGCAAAGCTGAACAGCCATTGAAATATCAGTAAAGTGCATGCTGTCCGATCTAGTTTCTTTGCACAACTCGAGTGACAGGGATTCCTCCTATGGGGAAATCATACCACACTTCATTTTTCCTGCTGGTGAACCTACCCTTTCCTTGTCCTGTTACTGGTCCCATCACGGCAACTGGACATTTATCTCTTTCTTCTCCCCAGATATGCCTTTTGCTGCTCTGCTCTCTGATACCTTCAGCTTTGAAAGCTGTCTTCTACTCACAAATCGCCCATAGAGGAATATGGTACATCTCAGAAGCAGTCACCCCACTTTTAACAAGAACCTATTATACCCAATTCTTTAGCCCACAAAAACACTGGCTTTTTTTTTTTTCACAGGCCATGTCGCATTTGTAGCTCCATCGAGTTGACAGTCCAGTAGTCCCCACTCATGCTTTTCCTTGGGCTTTTTCCTTCCCACAGTCTATGCAGGTTGAGTGGGATTTTTGCTCTTCTCATGTCCATCCTGGAGGTATGAGCTCTAGGCAGCTCCATGCTTTGCTGCACAACTTTGGGCAGTGCCCTATACAGCATATCTGACTCCATATCTGCCTCTCCCCAGCTCCTTCACAGGGCAGCTCTGCCCCAACTCGGGGTCCTGGATTGCATTAAAAGTTAGGAGTTGCAATGCATAACTCATAGGCACCTCTGTCTTTCATTAAACCTACCCCTGCACCCCTTCTCCTAGTCTGCTGTCCTCGCTGGTGGCCACAGCACCACCTAATTTGGCATCTTCTCCCTGGCAGAAGGGTGGGTTGCCCTGGGACATTACTGTCCAGACAGGCTCCCCAGCCAAAAGGAAGTTTATATATGCAGGAGCATGCAACCAGAGGCCAGGAGACCCAGGCCACTCACAGGGCAGCAGTAGAAGGCAGTTTCCCAGCGGGGCCCCTTTTCTTCCAGCCTGGCTTCCTTCCCAAGCTGCAGCCTGGTGGAGGACTGAGTTGGTGCTTGGTCCCTGTGCTGTAGGGTCAAGGGGTTGGGACTGGGTCCTGCCTCAAACACAATGAGGCATTGATGTTAGTTAAAGCCTCTAGTGCCACCAAGTTGTCATGAAGTCACATGGGGGGACACATGGTCAACGGGCCGAAGCTTCTGGTGTATCACGATTTGTCCTCTCCATGCTGGGCCAACAGAGAGGAAGAATGGGATCAACTGTTTTACCAGGATTCGCAATCCTTTACCTACTTTCCAGTTGCATGGCAGAGACAGACACCAGAAGTAAATCCTGTCTATAGGGAACGTAGGAAGGTTCAGAGCTGCTCCGAGGTCTTGCTTCTGGGAAGAGTTGAAGTCTCTTGATTCTTCGCGGTTTCAGCAAGACTCAGCCTGCAGGGCAAGAAGGAGGGAAGGGGCTCCTGGTGCCCTTGGACCATCCTGTTGTTTCCTTGCTTCCACGCCCTGCTTGATCTGACCCCTTCTTGCTGACCCTGCTTCAACTTCAACCTCTGCTTCACGTCTGGGAAGACTGTAATGCGGCTCTCACAGGTATCTGCCTGACCTTGCTCTGCCAAGGTGTTTGGCCCTGTCTCAGACTCTGACCTTCTGGCTTTGACCCCTGGCTACCCCAGGGACCTTTGGCTAATGGGGTGTGTAAATCACCAGTCAGGCTGCCTACACCTCGGTACATGATCGTTTGGTGTTGTGCCTACACCCAGACCCTGCCTTCCTATCTAAGGTGCAGAGGGTGGGATTGGAGATAGGAGCTAAGTGACTTGCCAGAGGGCATGCATTACATCAGTAGCAGAGCTAGGCCTAGACTACAGGTCTCCCAAGTCCTCGTGCAGCCCAGCAAGTGCCCTGCAGCCTGGACTGCTGCTGATGGCACTGCCCAGCCTCTTCCCACCTGCTACTATCTGCCTCACACTTACATCCCAGAGACTCCCTGCAACCTCCCCCTCCTCCAGGACTGCCAGTCCACGAGCTCCAGCTCCTCTGTTAGTGAAGGAGGTGAGGGTTTGAATTGCCTTCCAGAAAGCACCCCAAAAGTGTCTTACAAACTCCCCAAGCGCCTAGCACAGCCCGAGGAAGCTCCCTGCTCCACCCCTCCATTGCTTCCTTGTTAGTGGTACATAAAGCAGGTTGCTGGCAATGAAGTGGAGCAGTGCCAGGAATTTTAACCTCCGGGTCTGAAAGCATGACCCTCCTTTTCCTGCTCATATGATTTTAACAGCACCATGCTTCATACAGCCAAGAAAAGCAACCCTCCCAGCAGTCCTTGCCAGTCTGACCTAGAGGAAAACTCCTACCTGCCCCACACTTAGTGATCAGTTTAACTCCCTGAACATAGGAGCAAGACCCTTCAGTCAGGTGCTTTAAAGGGCTCTCCATATTGGCAACTTCCTCCTGGTCTCTCTAGGTGACCAGCAGAAGCCCTGAACCCTGGGACAGTACTCATGATAGCATGGGACTGGACGCCCTTTCCACTCCTATGTTTCTAGATGTTCAGCCCCTTACAATCCCCTGATGCACCATTCAAATCCCACAGTAGGGATTGCACAGGGGGTACTTCTGATTTTTTCAGGCCAGCTGCATCCAGTCTACATCCATTCATCCTGCTGGCTCAACTCCATCCAGACTTATTCTGTACTTCTTGCCCATCCCTGCCCTGCTCTGCAGAGCTGCTGTTTGCTGTTAAACAGTTGTTGTGTTTCACCCAGGCTGTGGCGGGTGAAGTGATTCGTTACATAGTTTGTTTAAAGTGCTCTGAGATCCTTAGAGGTGAAAGGACTTATGTGAATGTGCCACTGTTTTCATTAGTTGCCCATACGGTAGCAAATCCAGGGCCACCTAGGACAGACTTGGTGGTGACTATGCCGTATACCAAGGCCATCCTGAATGTCACAGCTGCGGTGCAAAAAGAACGCGGCTCCTGCTTCTCCAAAAGCACTGAGTCCTATCATGCGCACACAAGAAATACTAGCAGAATAGCGCACGTGCTGCTGCATTTGCTTGTAGCAGGGATTTTTAACCAGGGTGCTATGGCTCCACAGGGTGCCATGAGATCTTGTAAGGGTGCCATGGGCTTCTGCACAATATTAGCACTATTAGGTGTGCAAGCACCTACAGATGAGTCACAAGATAACCCCAGACATTTAAAATAAGAATCCAGCATGTCAAAGCCATTATGGCCTGTTTTGGTCTTGCTGAGTTCTTCGCAACAGAAGAATCACTCTAGTAATTTTTTCCATAGTCCATAAACAAGTGAAATCTAAGAGCTGGCATTTTCCAAAGGGGAACTTGAGTCTAAAACGGTTGCGAGCCAATGTCTTAGGGAAATGAAGTGGGCCATTGCAAGCAACAACTCCAGTACCTGCAGGCAGGATGAGTGAGCAGATGAAGGTGCCAATAGGCTGGAAAATGGGCTGGCATCCACCACGTGAGCACTCTGCACTGCTCCGTCTCTGTAGCTATGGCACTACCTCCATTGACTGTGCTCTGGTGTTGGCCACCCAAGCAATGCAATGCAGAAGCAGGATTTCCTTTGTGGTTCTAGTATCTGCGATCCCAGCTGGGAACCAGTCAATGGCACACCTTTTAGGATGCCAGTTCTTTTGCGATGAGCGTCCCAAGTGAGCTACACCATGTGCAAAGGGGCAGCAAGGAGTAGTGCGAGGACTTGAGAAGAAGCAGCAGCTCTCCTTGAT